TAAGGCATTATAACATTTGAGTTCTGAATAGCCAGTGGGTCATTTAGTAGAGGTACCAGAAAGGTCATACATTAGAAACAGGGCTAAACCAGCCTTAGAGTAAAAGCTTCCCTAAACCAGTGGTTCCCAACCAAGGATGATTTTGTCCCACCAGAGGACGTTTGGCAATATCTGGAGACATACTGCGTTGTCACAACTCGGAAGAAAACTAGCACCTAATGGGTAGAGGCCAGGAATGCTGCTAACACTCTGCAATCCACAGAACAGCCCTTGCCCACAACCAAGAATTTTATGGCTCAAAATGTCAGTAGTGCCAAGGTTGAGAAACCCTGCTCTAGACCCATCCTAACAGAACTTAAAATTAAGCCTAGAAAGGATCAAGTTGATCTGCAAGTAACTTAAATGCTAGTCAAAACAAAATCAGCACTTTAAAGGGAATCAGTAAAATCCAGGCACTTAACACTGCAACATTTATAATGTCTAGCATCCAATAAAAAAATTACTAGATATGTGAAGAAGTAGCAAATATGATTTATCACCAGGAGGAAAAAATGAGTTAATATAAAGAGGACTAGAAATGACTAAGATGATGAATTAGAAAATAGTTATTATCAAGTATGACCAAGGATTTAAAATAAAACATAAACATAAAGACAAATGGAAGATATTTAAAAACTGGTACTTATAGAGCTGAAAAATACAATGTCTGAAATGAAAAATTCACTGGATGGGGTTCATGGTGTATTAGAAATTGACAAATAAAAAGGTCAGTGAACTGGAAGACATAGTAATAGAAACTATCCAATAAGAAACATGGAGAAAAATGACTGAAAAAAAAAATGAACAGAGCCCCAGTGAACTGTGGGACAGTATAAGTGATCTAATATACATGTAATTGAAGTTCTAAGGGTGGAGGGAGAAAAAAATTAGACAAAGTAAAGGATAAAAATACCAAAATTTGATGAAAACGAAACCTACAGACTCTAGAAGCTAAATGAACCTGAAGCAGAACAAACACAAAGAAAACCACACCACAGTACACCATAACCAAATTGCTGAAAACCAATCATAATGATAAAACTCTTAAAAGAAGCCAGAAAAAAAAAAGAAAAGAAATTTAAAGAGACATAGACATACAGGGAATTTGAAAAGAAAGTATTACAAACTCCTCATCAGAAACTATACAAGCAGAAGACAGTGGAATAGTAGTATCCTTAAGATGCTTAAAGAAAAAGCAGCCAATGTAAAATTATATACTGTATGAAAATATCCTTAAAAAATCAGGACAAAATGAAGACCTTTTAAACCAACAGAAAGTGAGAGAATTCATAGCCAGAAGACTTGCACACCAAGAAATGTAATGGGAAAATTTTCAGGCTGAAGGTAAAAGATCCCCAGTGGAAACTTAGTTGTACACAAAAGAATAAAGAGCACTGGAAGTGGTAAATATGTGGGTAAATAGGAAAGACTTTTCCCCATATAACATTTAAAAAAACCTCTTTAGGGCCGGCTCTGTGGCCAAGTGGTTAAGTTCGCACGCTCCCCTGCAGCGGCCCAGGGTTTGGATCCTGGGCGCGGACATGGCACTGCTCGTCAGGCCACGTTGAGGTGGCATCCCACATCCCACAACTAGAAGGACCTGCAACTAAGATATACAGCTATGTACGGGGGGGTTTGAGGAGATAAAGCAGAAAAAAAAAAATTGGCAACAGTTGTTAGCTCAGGTGCCAATCTTTAAAAAAAAAAACCAAAAAACCCTCTTTAAGTGATGACTGTTTAAAGCAAACAAATCAATTGTATTGTGGGGCTTATAATTTATGTAGAAGTAAAATGAATGACATCAATAATACCAAGAATGGTTCTTACCATATATGTGAAGTTATATAATATTATTTGAAGGTATACTGTGTTAAGTTTAAAATGTGTATTGAAAATACTGATAAAGAAATTAAATGAAGAGCTGTTACACAAATGGAAGAGATAAAATGAAATGGTGAAAATTACCCAGCCCCAGAGAAGGGAGGAAAAGAGAAAAAGTGTAACAAAAAACAGATGAGATAAATAGAAAACAAATAATGAGATGCTAAACTTACAGCCAACTTATTTCACTAATTACCTTAAGTGTAAATGGGTTAGACAATCCAATTAAAAGGAGTCAGACTGAATGGAAAAACAAGACTCAACTATTTATGCTGTCTACAAGCAGGACCCAACCATATGCCATCTACAATTATATGTTATCTGTACACTTAAGACATAAAGATGCAGATAGGTTAAAAGTAAAAGAACAGAGAAGAATAAACTATACAAAAACACTAATCAAAAGAAAGTTTTAGCAGCTATATCATTATCAGACAGAGTAGACTTCAGAGCAGGAAATATTACCAGGGATAAAAGACATTTCATAATGATTGTGGTAGTTTTAAAATGTGTCCTCAAATTGTTTGATACTCCTTTCTTTAAGAGGTGGAGCCTAATTCTTCTCCCTTTGAATGGGGGTTGGACTTTGTGACACATGAATAGAATATGGTGGAAGAGATAAAAGATAATGCAGCTTCCAGCTTGGTTGTTCTCTATTTGGTCATTTGCTGTGGGGGAAGTTAGCTGCCACTGTGTGAAGAGAGGTCCATATGGTGAGGAACTGAGGCCTCCAACCAAGAGCTTTCTGAGAAACCATCTTGGAAGCAGCTCCCACAGCCCCAGTCAGGCCTTCAGATGACTGCAGCCCCAGCTGACATCTTAACTGCCACCTCACGGGAGACCCTCAGCCAGAACCACCAAGCAAAGCTACACCTGGATTTCTGACCCTCAGAACCTATATGAGATAATAAATGTTTGTTGTTTGAAGCTGCTAAGTTTAGGGTAATTTGTCACATGGTAATACATCTAATAGAAGGAGCAAAAGGGTAGATTTATCAAGAAGACATTCAAATCTTAAATCTGAGTGCACTTAATAATAGAGCTTCAAAATATATAATGTAAAACCTGACGGACTAAAAGCAGAAATAGATAAATCCATAATTAAGTTGGAGATTTCAACACTCCCCACTCAGTAATTGATAGAATAAATAGAAAAAATCAGAAAGGAATTGGAAGACTTGAAAAACACCATCAACCAACCTAACTTAATTGATTTTTGTAGAATACACCTATTAGTAGCAGAATGCACATTCTTTTCTAGTGCACATAGAACATTCACCAAGATAGACCATATTCGTGGCTATAGAAAAAGTCTCAGTAATGTTTAAAAGATTGAAATCATGGAGATTATGTTCTTTGACCACAATGGAATCAAACTTAGAAATAATTACAGAAATATATCTGGGCAATTTCCCAAATGTTTAGAAATTAAACTTCACACTTTTAAAATAACATGATTTACAGAAGAAATCACAAAGGAAAATAGAAAATATTTTTAACTGAATGGAAATGAAATCACAATGTATCAAAATTTGTGAGATGCAGTTAAAGCAGTGCTTGAGGGAAATTGATAGTTTTAAGTGCTTATACTAGAAAAGAAAAAATGGCCAAAATCAATTGATCTGTCAGTTGTCAAACTCATTGGTAAATAATCTGTGCCACTATTTGTTGTGTTACTCAGTGACAGAATTTTGATGAAGTAAGGTAAAAATGTATAAGGAATAGTTTTGTACTTAATGAAGGGGATCTTGAATATTCAATTTTATCCAAATTGTAAGATAATATACTACTTAATTGTACTGTTGAGCAAATACTGAATACAAACTGAAGGAAAAAAAAAATCAAGTGAAAATCTCTTAATCACTAGGATATTTGATAAATTTATATCCTTTCTTGATTATTCTTTATGTGATTATTTCGTTCATAGATTAAACAGGTTTTCTGTTTTGCTTATAAATACCTTAGAATCAAATGACATAATCCAGCCCCCTCATTCGGTTTCCTTTTGCTCTTCATCTTTTGAAACACGTCAGTGATTATGAGCCTCCCAGATATGGGAAGAAACACTTAAAACCAAACCAGTCAGTTCTGCTGCATTCTAATAGTGTTTTTAAAAAGTTTCTTCAGGTAGGGGGAGGGGTGGAGGAAGGATAGACAGTGATAAAGCAACCAAAATTAGGATTCCAGGATTATAGGTGGAATCCAATTTCAAATTCTAATTTTTAGCTTCATTTAGTCATATCATAGTTTGTAATTTGCTTGTCCACCTGCTTCTCAAGAATAGTTTCCTTCTGTTTTTGATAATCTTCCTTCTGAAGTATGAGTTTTCACTCCAGGCAAAAGATTTGGGGTTTACAGGCTGTTAGGGCGGACTCAAGGGAAACTTGGTAGGGATTCCTTTTCTGAGAGAATTTTGATGGTTTGATTAGATAGGGTACTGTGCTCAGAATTAGAAGAAGACTTTTGACTGGCCCCTAGGAGAGTCACTTTAAAGACAGGAGTATCATTCTTCCTGCCTGTTGTAGTTTCAGCTACCAGGAATTCTTTCAGTGCCACAAATCCCAGGGATTAAGCATGACTGAGTAATAGTTACACCTATTATTGTTGGGAGGTGTTTGCACTCTTGTTCCCTATAGGCATGTCCTCCTACATTTTGCGAGTTTGCTGCATTTGACAGTTGTGCACCAGCGGTATTTTTATAATTCAAAATAAATAGAATGTGCTATAGCTATAACTTTGTATTTTCTGTAATTTCCTCTCTTTTTTACTCTCTGTAGGTGGGTTTGTTTTTGTTTGTTTGGGGCTGTATTTATAAAATAGTGGGAAATAGGGGCTGGCCCCGTGGCCGAGTGGTTAAGTTCGCGCGCTCCGCTGCAGGCGGCCCAGTGTTTCGTTGGTTCGAATCCTGGGCGCGGACATGGCACTGCTCATCAGACCACGCTGAGGCAGCGTCCCACATGCCACAGCTAGAAGAACCCACAACGAAGAATACACAACTATGTACCGGGGGACTTTGGGGAGAAAAAGGAAAAAATAAAATCTTTAAAAAAAAAAAAAAATAGTGGGAGATAAACACCAAACAAATTTGAATTCTGATTTACTGTTACAGCGGATAAAGTCTAAAGCTGTCATAAACTGCCAGGGAGATATAAAATGAATGTGACCATCTGCACTCGGTTAGCTTTTCTTTCTGATTTGTTGTCGTGAGTGTTTCCAGTTCTGAGTTCACGTTCTCCGCTTCTACCTTGTTGTTATTCCCAGCTGTCTCCCTCTGGGCGAAGCAGTTCTTGATTATTTCTTCTCAGACCATCTTCCCTACAGTAAAAAAAAGAAGACATCACCTTCCTAGGATCTAGCTTTTCCTACCAAGGTTTATCTGGCAGATAGTGTTTTTTTTAAGAAATGAGTAGTATTGTGAAATCTGTAAATTTTCTAGTAAAATGGCTTTCTGTCATCATGGGCACTCATTAAATATTTGTTGAATTAAATTAAATGAATCCTTATGCTTACATTTAATGCAGAATTGAGAAATACCAGATCATAGAAGTCCCCAGAAAAGGATCAGTTAATCCCAGGAGACTAAAGGCAAAGCTCACACGTTCCAATAGTTTTGTAATTCTGCAGAGTCTGACAAAAGTGAACCCTTACTTATTGGTCACATTGCATAAGAAGAGGAATGTGAACTCTCTTCATTTAGCCAAGTTATTTACTACCTGCAATAAGCCAGGCCCTATGCTGGTGTTGGGGTGAACAAGGTAAAGAAGGTGGCATTTACCTTCCAGGTTCCCTGAGAAGGTGGTTCCTTAGCTAGAAACAGCCATTTCTCATCTACTTTCACTTCTCTCTTCTCTTGTTTCCCAAACCAGTTCTAGGAGCTTTCTTGGTTACTTTCTGTTACAGTGTTACCTTGGAGCTCATATCGCAGTGTGTTGTAATTACTTATATGTCCCTTTTCCAGACTGTCAGGGACTGTCTTTTTCCTTGTTGCCCCAGCACATAGCAGAACAATGGAACGTGGCTGGTGTCAAGCTCTGTTTGTTCACTGAATTAGTGAAACTAGAGCAGCACTTCACAACCTTTTTCGTTCTGTGACACAGAGAAAATGCTGAAGAGGGTGAGCCCTGTAGAGACCCTGGCTTAAGAGTTTCCATTGGCTTGTGCCCTCCATGGCTGCCCTGCAGAGGGAGGGAGCAGCACCTCGGCATCCCTGTCACCCATTCGTGGCAGTTTGCACATAGTGCGGAAGCTCTGTGCTACAACACCACGTGCTATAGCAGGCCTTTGGATCTGGAGGGTGAAGCTAGAGGGGAAGGGGAAAGAGCAGTGGCCAAGAGCAAGTATAAGACCATATGGATGGAGGGCGGAATCATTTAAGAGTAAAGACTGGAAAGGAATCTAGGCATTTTAGCCAGTTGTCTGAAGGAGAATAAGCTTTGAAAAAATTCCTGTGGGTTAGCTTTGGAAGATGGGACTTGAGCCTTTGAAAAGAGTGGTAGTTTCTTCTGTACAAGTTTCTTCTGTCTACTTTCTTTTCATCCTGACCTCTGAAAGCACCCAGTGCAAAAGGCAGTTGGTTGTATAACTCTGTGAATATACTAAAAGCCATTGAACTAGACACTTTGTATGGAAGGATTGTATGGCATGTGAATTCTATCTCAATAAAGCTATTTAAAAAATTTCTCTTCCTGCGGCCGGTCCAGTAGCACAATGGTTAAGATCGCACGTTCTGCTTCGGCGGCCCAGGGTTCGCCGGTTCAGATCCTGGATGTGGACATGGCACCGCTTGTCAAGCCATGCTGTGGCAGGCGTCCCACATATAAAATAGAGGAAGATGGGCACGGAAGTTAGCTCAGGGCCAGTCTTCCTCAGCAAAAAGAGGAGGATTGGCAACAGTTAGCTCAGGGCTAATCTTTCTCAAAAAAAAAAATTTCTCTTCTTCATTTGAGTTTTACAAAATTGAATCTGGAGGAAAGAAAGTTGGATTTCCCTCTGTGCAAGAGAGAGTCTACTCAGGGGCTTGGAATTACCAAGATACAAATATTTAAGTTACTAATGTATGAATATTTAAATTACCAATACCTAAACATTTGCAAATCTGGACATTTAGAAATTTGCTTGTTATTATTGATATCCCTCCTGAATTTTATAACATTTTATAAATTTAACAATTAGAATTCAACCCTAAATTATTTTATAACCAAGATACTATTTTATTTTGGTGGAAAAGAGTAACAAATCTTTATGGCTGTGTAATATAGATCATTGCTTTGATATGAAATCTTTAGTCCTACAAGATTTAATAAAACTTATTACTTCCAAAGACTGATTTGCTTATGTCTAAATTGTATAGCTATAAACAAAGTTGTTTTCATACTCTGGATAATTTAGTCCTTTTATTTTCACATAAACACTGCCTACAAATTTCTAGTATCTATAAAAACAGCAAAATCATGAAATGAAATTTATGTATGACTTTTTGAAATTATGTTTTCTTATCATTGATATTTATATTTTGAAACAGCTGTATTAGTTATCTATTGCTGCATGACAAGTTATCCCAAGACATAACAGCTTAAAATAACAAACGTTTATCGTCTCCGTTTCTGTGGGTAAAGAGTCTGGGTGCAGCCTGGTTGCGTGCCTCCGCCTCAGGGTCTCTCAAGGTCAGGCAGGGCTGTGGTCTCATGTGAAGGCTTGATTGAGGAGGATCTACTTCTGAGCTCATTCACATGGTTGTGGGCGGGATTCGTTTCCTAACAGGATGTTGGAATGAAGGCCTCGGTCCCTCAGGGGCCGTTGGAAGAAGTTCCTTGATTTGTGGGCCTCTGTCAAGAGTAGCTCCCAACATGGCATCTTGCTTCCATCATAGCAATCAAGCAAGAGAGTGTGAGCAAGATGGAAGCCAGTCTTTTTGTAAACCTAATCTTGAAAGTGACATCCCATTGTGTTTGCTCCATCTCTTTGTTATAAGGGATTCACTAGGTCAGTCTGTATTCAAGGGAAGCGAATTTCATGAGAACATGAAGACCAGGAAGCAGGAATCAATGGGGACCATGTTAGAGGCTCCCTACCACAACATTCCTCTCAGAAAGTTCTACATAATAGGTATTCTAACTTAGAATTCATTTTTTACTAAGAATATTATGGCATCCTTAAAAATATTAGTGATACTCAAAGATGTAATAGGTAAAGGACTGGGCAGCAGTACACTAGAACTGTTATATCACTTTCTGTCTTATTGCTCCACCGTCCCTGGAGCATTACGTTTGTCCAGGATGACAATACCCATTGAAACAGCCACCGGAAAGGGGAAACAGAGTGCGGTGGGGCGAAGATGGGCATAACCCAGAAGTTGCAGCTGTCATTTCAGCTCCTATCCCATTTGCCAGAACAGAGTTACGTGGCTACACCCAGCTACAAAAAAAGCTAGGAACTTTAGTCTTTAGTTGTGCAGTCATGGGCTCATCTAAAAATTATATTATTGCTGAAGAAAGGGAGAGTATATATTGGGGGGTAACTAGAAGCCTCTGCTCGAAGCTTTCGACAGCCTTAAAATGGATATCACATGGCCACGCACTAATGCATTTTGCTCAGAGGTGAGTAAAACCACGTCCTCATTCAGAGCCTAGTACTCTTAATTTAGACAGAATTCTTATTAGCTTAGTTACAGGGCTTCCCAAACCACTGCAGATTAGGAGGAAGTGTAGTGACAAGCAGGCATCTTGACAGCTGCAAAAATTGAGAGCAGAGTGTCCAGTAACAAATATGAACGTACAGAAGGCTGAGGCAAAAACTAAACTGGCAGGTCAGAGGAATCTGATAGAGGGGCAACCAGTCCCGTGACCTTTAGTAGCCCAAGGCACTGCTCATTTAACAACGTTACCACATAGTAAAATACTTAGATTTAGTAACAGTGATCTAGAATCTTCCATTGTGGTTAAAAGAAAAAACATTTTGGCACTCTGAAGAGGTAAGCTTCATCAGTTATCTGGAAAATTCATTTATGTAGAACAGTCCGTAAAAATGATCCTGTCAAATTAAGGAGAGGCCCCTCTACTCACAATACTCTTCACCTTTATCTAATTACCAACACATGATTTATATCGGAACATTCTTTCTGAGTTTCATTTCTGGTATCTAGAATTATATATTGTTTCAGAGTGGTTGACATTAGTAATTTCTTTTTTTTTAAAGACAGTATCTGTATTAGCCAATCTCCACATATTTCAGATTATAAACATAGAGCAATTACACCCCATCCCCACCACACTGTAAAGAGTACAGAACTTTCTGGTTACACTTAGAGTATCATTGTAAGTATGAGATTGTCAAAGAGTTCTCCAGCACTCATATTTTTTAAGCCAACTGGCCTCGTAGCTAGTATTGCCATTTTGATACATTGGCCTTGAATGTTCTTTCCCATTTCTCATTCTGGCAAACTCTTACTGATTTAAGACCCAGGTTCATTACAAAATAAATTGTATTACACAAGAAAAGCACAATCCATAAAAGGAAGAATTGACAAATTAGACCATCAAAGTTAAAAAGTTTGCTCTATGAAAGACTGTTAAAAGGATGAAAAGACAAGCTACAGACTTGGAGAAAATATTTGTAAACCTCATATCTGACAAAGAGCTGGTATCTGGAACATGCAAAGAACTCTCAAAACTCAACAGTAAAAACAACAACAACAACAAAACCCCCAATCAATCCAATTTAAAAATGGGCAAAATACATGAAAAGACTTTTCACCAAAGAGAATGTACAGATGGCAAAAATATGTTCAACATCTTTAGATTAGGGAAATGCAAATTAAAACCACAATGAGATACATACACATCTATCAGAATGGCTAAAATAAAAAATAGTGACAATACCAAATGCTGGTGAGGATGCTAAGACTGGGTCACAGCTATGTTGCTGGTAGGAATGTAAAATGTTGCAGACACTTTGGAAAACAGGCAGATTCTTTAAAAGCTAAACATGCCGCTACCATGACCGAGTAATTGCACACCTGGGCATCTATCCCTGAAAAAGGAACACTTAAGTTCATACAAAATCCTGTGCATGAATGTTTATAGCAGCTTTATTCATAGTGGCCCCAAACTGGAAACAATTCACTTCCTGCAGTGAGTGAGTGGTTAAACTGACTATGGTATGTTCATAGGCTCAGCAATGAGAAGGCAGCAACTAATGCTACATTGCCACAACCTGGATGAATTATGCTGAGTGAAAAAAGCCAGTTCCAAAAGGTTACATACTGTCGTATTCCATGTATGTAATGTTCTTGAAGTGCATTACAGAAGTGGAGAACAGATTAGTGGTTTCCAGGGGTTAAGGAAGGTGGGGGGCAGTGGGAGGGAAGTAGGTTGGCTGTAAAAAGGCAACACAATGGATCTGTGCAGTGATGGAAGAGTTCTGTAGCTGACTATGTCAATGGCAATACCCCGTGCTATAGTTTTATAATGATGTTTCCCTTGGGGGGAACTGAGTAAAGGGTACATGGTATCTCTCGGTGTTGTTTTTATAACTGCATGTGAAAATACGATTATCTCAAAATAAAAAGTTTAAAAACTTATGAACTCCTTAGAACTCCATTGGACTGAACTCCATGAAGGAAGGCGTATCTGTATTTTACCAGCAGCTAGTACCATGCCTGACTAATAGAAGATGCTTCAAAAATGTTTGTGGGTTGCCTTAAGTGAGAACGGCTGAACATTTGAATGTAGCTATATTAAGCACCCATAACTGAGAGTACATCTCAAAATGAAGGGTATCTCTCTGCTGGCCCATTCATTCAAAAACTATCTATTGAGCATCTCCCTTATAGTAGACATTCTTCTAACTGCAGGAAATATAACAAGGAACAAAGTGGGGGGTGGGGGAAGCCCTGCTTTCATGGAGCTTACAGTTTAACTGGGGCAGAAGACAATAAACATAATACATAAATTATACAGTATGTTAGGTGGTGGTAAGTGCAATGGAAAATATTTTAAAGCAGTGTTTAGGGGTTGAGGATGTGAAAAAGACTGCAAGAGTGAGTGGGTTGCAATTTGCAATTTTAAACAAGATTTAAAGACAAAGAGACAGTGTCATTTGAGCAAAGTCTTAAAGGAAGTAAGGGAAAAACTATGCGGGTATATGGAGATAGAGAGTTCTGGGCTTTGAGTCAGAAAGACGTCCAGCATGTTCAAGGACAAGCAAGAAATTAAAGCCAGTGTTGGAGGAACAAGAGTGAGTGAGGCAAAGTAGTTTGGTGATGAAGTTAGAGGGACAATGAGAGTGCAGAACATGTGGAAACTTTTAGGGTGTTGTAAAGTCTTTAGGTCCTACTTTGAGTGAAATGGGGAAGCATTGGAGGATTTTAAATGGAGGAGTGGCATGACCTGACTTAGCATTTTAAAAAGGGTCACTCTGGCTGCCGTGTTAAGAACAAACAGTAGGGGAATAGGTTAAGGAGAAGGAAGAGTACTTCAGAAGCTGTTTCAGTACTCCAGGCAGGAAGTGATGGTGATTTGGACTGGAGTGGTAGCAGGAGAGTCATGAGAAGTGATCCATTTGTCTTTAGATTTTGAAGACAGAGCCAATAGAATTTGCTGCCAGATTGGATATAGGGTATGAAGGAAGGAGGAATCAATGATGTCTCCAAAGTTTTGGAGCTGAGGACTTGGACAGATGGTGTTGTCTTTAACAGAGTTGAAAAAAACGGAAGTGGAGGCAACTTTGGGGGGAAGTTGAGGAGTGCATGTTGAGTTTGAGACATCTAAGTAGAGATGTTGAA